TTCTTTTATATATCAATAAATAAATATTTTTTATATTAATAATTTTGTCTAATTAGATTTATTTTATTAAAAAATTGATAATAATAAATAGATAAATAGGTTAATTTAAATTTCATTATGTAGATTTTAGTGTTTTATCATATTATTTAATAAATTTTTTTTACATAAATAAATAAATACTGAAACTCTTTACATATCTAATAGAGTGTTTGTATTTTACTCTGGAATTCAACTATTTTTATATCAATTAATAAATATTTTTTTATATAAATAAATAAATACTGAAACTCTTTAGCAGAATTTCTGTATTTTACTCTACAATTCTGGATTTTTAGAATTCTCAATTTCTGTACCCCTTCCTCATTCCTCCGCGCCTTTATTTATAGGCTTCTTGGATGAATAGGATACTGACATGTGTTCTTTTTTGATAATGACATAATCATAACTGGGCGGGGCCGGTTATATTGTGATAATTATCCATAAAAAATAACTAAAAATAAGAGTTTTATATAGAATAGGATTGATTTTATTAGGTAATTTTTAGATTTTTATAAAAACTATAATTATCCATAAAAATAAAAATAAAAACTAAAAATAAGAGTTTTATATAGAATGTGATTGGCTTTATTAGGTAAATTAGATTTTCTTTTATTAAAAAACTTGTAATAAATAAATAATAGGTAATTTGTGTTAGAGTTTAATATAAACTCTTTTAAAAACTCTTTTTATATCAATTAATAAATATTTTTATTTTAATAATTCTTGTCTAATTAGATTTACTTTTGGTAAAAAAAACTCAAAATAAATAGATAAATAGGTAATTTGTATTTTAAAAACTCTTTAAAACCCTCTTTTTGTATCAGTTAATATTGATAAATTGGTAATTTGTGTTAGAGTTTTATACAAACTCTTTAAATATATCTTTGTTGATAGAGTTTAATTGATAATAAATTAGGTAATTTATAATAGAGTTTTATTGAAATTATTTTATTTTCTTTAAATATATACTTGTCTAATTAGTTTTAATTTTATTAAGATACTCATAATAAAAGTTAATTTGTGGTAGGGTTTTATAAAAATTATTTTACTTTATATATCAATTAATAAATATTTTTTATATTAATAAATCTTGTCTAATTATATTTTCTTGTCTAATTAGATTTACTTTTGGTAATAAAAAAAAAACTCAAAATAAATAGATAAATAGGTAATTTGTGTTTTAAAAACTCTTTAAAAACCTCATTTTGTATCAGTTAATAAATAATTTTTTATATTAATAATACTTGTCTAATTAGGTTTCCTTTTTATTAAAAAAACTCATGATAAATTGATAAATTGGTAATTTGTGTTAGAGTTTTATACGAACCCTTTAAATATATCTTTGTTGATAAAGTTTAATTGATAATATAATAGGTAATTTGTAATAGAGTTTTATTGAAATTATTTTATTTTCTTTAAATATATACTTGTCTAATTAGTTTTAATTTTATTAAGATACTCATAATAAAAGTTAATTTGTGGTAGAGTTTTATAAAAATTATTTTATTTTATATATCAATTAATAAATATTTTTTATATTAATAAATCTTGTCTAATTAGATTTTCTTTTATTAAAAATGGATAATAATAAATAGATAAATAGGTTAATTTAAATTTTATTATATAGATTTTACTGTTTTATAGATTTTTTTTTTTTTTTGTTTTAGTAAAAACTCTTTTCATATTTAATAAATATTTTTTTATATAAATAAATAATGAAACTCTTTACACATCTAATAATAATATAGATAAAAACTTTTTTTATATCAATTAATAAATATTTTTTTATATAAATAAATAAATACTGAAAACTCTTGACAGAATTTTTGTATTTTACTCTGAAATTCAACTAAATTAATAAATATTTTTTATATAGATAAATAAATACTGAAACTCTTTGGCAAAGCTTCTGTATTTTACTCTGGAATTCTGGATTTCTAGAATTCTCAATTTCTGTACCCCTTCCTCCTTCCTCCATGCCTCTATTTATAGGCTTCTTGGATGAATAGGATGATGACATGTGTCCTTTTCTGATAATGACATAATCATAATTGGGCCGGGCCAGTTATACTGTGATAATTATTTATAAAAAATAACTAAAAATAAGAGTTTTATATAGAATGTGATTGATTTTATTAGATAATTTTTAAAGTTTTATAGAAACTATTTTTACAAAAATAATTTTTATATCAATTAATAAATATTTTTTTATATAAATAAATAAATACTGAAATACTTTGCACATTTAATAATAATATAGATATATATATATATATATATAGATATATATATATATAAAAACTATTTATGGGGGACATTGATCTTTATGAAAGATGTCTGACAAAATATTATAAAAACGGGAATACGTGGTTGCATGAGTAAATAACAATGAGATGGAACCAACTACCACGGTCAACTCTCAATTGATCAATGATGAGAGCAATGCATAGCATTATATGAAAAGTAAGAAGGATAAAAAAAAAAAAAAAAAAAAAAAAAGTGTTCCATTCAATGATTTTTTCATGAAAAATAAAAAAAAAAAATTAGAGTAGTTCCGAAATATTCTGCATATCATTTGGAAAAGGACTTGCACAAGATCTATTGAAATACATTCAAGAAATTCAGGTTTCATTTGTTCATGAAAAAGATTAAGATAAATTATTTATAAAAAATGTCAAGGATGTGATGATTCATAGAGACTTTTTAAACCCGAGACTTGACTCTTCGGCCTTCTATTCTAGATGGTAGTGAATTACAGCCATACTTTTCTAAGCACAATGAAAAGATACATGTACAATAACATTTTAGTTGAATTTATATTTTGTCCATTTTTTGAAGTTTTCAAAAATAAGTAAATAATAGAAATTTTTAATTTTAATTTCATGAATTTTATCTTAATTATACAATTTGATTTGGACACCTGATACAAATGTGAATTTTTGCACATAAAAAAAGCTGCATATTTCAGGTAGATCAAATACTCTTATTTGATGTTCTGAATTTTGATTCCTTTTTGTAGGGGTTCTTTTTGAATAATACAATAAACAAGTGTATAAGGGTGATATCAAGAATACAAATATGAAGGAAAACAGATAAGATACTTAGTGAAGGAGGAGAAGAAGACCGATCTTTAAGATTAAAATGGAAGTAGGGCAGATATACAGTATTTACGACAGCTCTTTTCTGAGCCCCCTTTCCTTCATGCGATAGTGCTATTTATAGGCTCTAGAACATGCTGGTTATTAACCAGCGGTCCCTTGCGCGTCTCGCTCCTAACCATGATCACATGGGTAGTCCTGATGGACCTAGGAGCCTAAGAGGTCCAATCCTCTCATCAAGCCATGCATTTTGTTGCTTCTCCCCTATTTGGGGCATTTAATAATTTTTGTTCTTGCTTGGCCGTCAGTTGGCCAAGTCTATCATAACATTAAATGTGATTTAAAGGTTTGCTGTCATAATGTATATATTCCCATCATCTCGTTGATCGGGCCTCGCTAGGAGCAAAGGCACTTCTTTACTTCTCATCCACCAGTCCAAGATCCTTCTAAATTTCCCAAGTTAAGATCCCATATAGCTGAGAAGGCCCTACCTTCGTTCCACGCTATGTTTGGACCTGTGGGAGTATAGTCATTTGTAGGCGAGCTCTCTAGGGTTCTAATGCCTCGAAGCACTATGAGGCTCAAAGGAGCTTGTAGGCTAAGCATTTAAGTCCTAGAAACTTGGCATGTTGTTAGGGTTCGTAATGCTCGAGATCTGAGCTCTCAAAGCTTATTGGCATGGTGCGATGCCAGGGTTTGAGTCGGTTGAGAGTTGGTTCCTTTAGGCTTGTTGATCTAGTGTACTGCTAGGGTTTGAGTTACTCGAGGGTTGACCCCTCGAGACTTGTTGACTTGGTGCGCTACCAGGGTTTGAAGTGCTTGAGGGTTAAGCCCTCGAAGCTTGGTGGCCTCATGTGATGCCAGGGCTTGTGGTGCTCGAGAGTTAAGTTCCCAAGGCTTGATGGCCTAGTACTTTGCTAGGGCTTGGGATGCTCAAGGGTTAAGTTCTCGAGGCTTGATGGTCTGGTGTTTTGCCAGAGTTTGGGGTGCTCGATAGGTTGAGCCTTCGAGACTTGGGGTGTTTGGACTGTAGCAGAGGAGAATTTATTTGTAGGCTTGACCCATCATTATTTTTCAGGCGTTTGTCAAGATTAGAGCTTGTTCTTTCTAAGCGGGGATCAGCCTACTTCATTCTTCCGATTCTATATAGGAGATTCTTTTATGCTTCGTTCTTCAGTTGTAGATAGTTATTGCTGTCACTTATTCAGATTGGTTTGTAGGGGTCCATACAGTATGGATTCCCAAGTTGTATTAATGGATGATTTAAAATGATTTTATTATTAATGAAAATTTATTAAGAGGTTTTATTATTGGATTTTTCTTTTAGTTTTCTTTCATCAAATTATTTATTCCTATTTATTTTTTTGTACTCTGTATTCGTTTATTGCTGATTTTGTTTTTGATATCCTCGGGTATTCGGGCGTGGGCGTGGGCGTGGGCGGGGCCTGGCCAACCCGCATTCGGAAATCCGAGGGTATCACATTTACACTGCCTATTCTCCTCTTCATCTGTGCTTGACGGAGATGCGTTCGGAGTAACTCTTCTGACTCTTCGGATTGTTTAGGTTGGCCATGAATTGCGTTCATAATCTGGACGGGTTGGGCGCTTTGGTGGCTCGACTTCTGATTTCTTTTAACCTGTTCAACCGGTCGGTTCCGCTCATTGGTGGCCCTTGAACATATCTTGCGAACTCCCCCCTGGATATCAGCATCTTCACTTTCCTCCTTAGGTTCCTGCATTCATTAGTTAGGTGACCAAAATCACTATGAAAAGCACAGTGTTTGGACTGATCCCTCTATTCGAGAGGTTGTCTAATTGGTAGGGGAGAGCAAAACTTATATTTGTATTCTTGGAACAACCTAGCTAAGGTGACCTTGAGTGGGGTGACCAGTTCTTCTTCCCTCGGCCTCTTTTCTGCTTTTCAGGAAGTTTGACGTTGCGCCTAAGCTTGTTTCTGTCGGATCTTGGCTTAGATTTCTCATCTGTTAATATAATCAATGTCTTTCTCGCATTAGATGCCTCCTCTTCTTCCAGATGCACGAATCCGTTAGCTCTTTTGTTCAGCTTATCCATGGTCTTCGGAGTATTCACCACTAGGCTTGTGTGGAACGGTGTCCCTCGATTCATGGCCAGCTTGAATGCTTGAACCGCCTTGGATGGATGACATTCCATTACCATGCTCTTGACAAGGTTAAACTTGGTGAGGAAAACTTGGAGCTTCCTATCTTCATGCTGCTTCATTATAAAGAGGCTTGAAACATCCTTGGTCGGGAGCTTATTCCCATAATACTGGCTTATGAACTTGTCGCATAAATCTTGAAAGCTAGCGATTGAGCTCTTGGCTAAATTCTTGAACCAATTGAGCGCTAGCCTGGCCAAACTTGTAGGGAAGCACTTGCACATCAAATGATCAGTCTCCGTGTTCAGAGCCATTTTTAGTTGAATGTGGTAAATGTGATTGATCAGATCAATTGTTCCATCAAATAGAATGAATACTGGCATAGAAAATTTCCTCAAATTCGGAGCGTTCAAGATCTCGTCAGTGAATGGAGAGGCAATCGTTCGTGCTGACGAACGGAGGGCTTCATTTACCATTGAAAATCGCGAGGGAATCCTCTGATCTTCAGATCTCTGCTCTGAACTCCTGTAATCATACGTAGCCATTGAAGGCCGGTAGGGTGGATCAATCGATCTTCCTCCGTGAACTCCCTCTGCCATAGTGACGTAGTATTATGATTATCAAAATCTATGGCTTCCTCACGCCTCAATCTTCTGTGATTAGGATCAAACGCTGCGGCCTCTTCTTGCATGATCCGCTCGCGATGCGGATCCAAGTGGATATATCCCTCTCGATCTTCCATTTGACAAACATTTGGCTGTAAATAACCTAGCATAATCTCCTCATGAAGAAGATCCATGTGATTTTCTCATTCTTGATCATTTTGATGAATAACATTGGATTGCAAAACTCTCTCCCCTACTGGAGGTGGTCGTGGAATGACCGGAGCTTCTCGACGCTCCATTCCAGCTCGCAATTCTACATTTTCTCTTCTGAGGACCTCGATTATGCTCATCAGTTCATCAAGCTTCGACTGCTGGCCATTCTCCAACGGATTTAAGCTCTCACCTTCTATCATCATTCCTGATCAGAGCAAAGTCATTAACGGCAAGTTCCAGATCAGATCTAAGCTTCGCTGATGCGATCGTGCTAGATCTAGAGTCGAACCAGCTGAATTCTGATCTCCTTTGGTCGGATCTGAATCTCTCCTACCGTGAACTCGTCAGATCTAGCTTCATTAAACAAATCATAATTGCATAGATCCAACACGAATCTCTCACTGCCAACCAGAATCGAAACTCTGTAAGATGAATTCCGATCGCACCGATCTGGATTCAACTTTCAGAGATCAAGCTTTTTCTTCATGAATCAATCCTGATTGAGTCAATCTTGATCGATTCAATCTTCATTGTTTCCCACAGACGGTGCCATTGAAGATGCAAAAAATTTCTCTCTATTTTGACAGAATATCTTTACACTTCAAGAATTCCCCCCCCCCCCCCCTTTCTTCTCTATTTTTAGCTTATTTATAGACTGTTACAAATTTCCTAGAACTTCCTAACTGATTCACTACGCTGGGCTTAGTCCCTGGGCTTCTCCAGTTATGGGCCTGATTCTTTTCAGAAGGCCTTCAGCTTCGTTCTTTAACCTTAAGCCCGACTTGAGAGAACTTGGTTTGAACCAAGATTACTTATCCAGCCTGTTTCGCATCGTATGGGTTGTACCTGACCCGCGCCATTTTTGATATCCTTAAAATATATAATAAAAATAATAATTATGTAGCTAATAGAGTTTAAAATTTCATTAGTACATGATTGATATAAATTTTTTAACATAGATATAAGAATAAATATACATATACAATTTCTAAAAGTAGTTGATAGAGTTTAGAATTTTATTAATAATTGATATACAATAATTTTTAGAAGTAAAGAACTGTTTTTAGATATTTATTGAAATACAGTATAATTATAAAACTTAGATATAAGAATAATTTTGTAAATAGATTTCTTAAGAGTAGTTGATACAGTTTAGGATTTTATTAGTGTTGATGCGAAATTCAGAACGACCTGGAACGACACCGTATCCCTACAACATATAGGGGAATCTTGACCGACACCGGTGTGGTGCCTGTCAAGAGCTCTCTAACGATCAAGTTAGTCGTTAAAGCTCAATAATAAAAGCAGGAATTTAATATTTATTTTTTTCGAACCTTATCAGTTTACCAGCTTGTCATTTATTTTTCTCGTACATTGTCAGAGATTTGATGATGTCGTATTATTTCATTTTTATCTTCTTCAACAGTCGGTGAGAATTTGAATTTTGAAGACCACCATTCAAATTTAAATTACTCAACCTAACATCTTATCCTTATTAGTTGCCCTCCATTCCCGACTTTGCTTGTCAAGTATCAGGAATGCCGACACTTTTTAGAAGCTTCATGACAATTGTATCATCAAATTGTGTTCTTTTCATGCATGAATGATTGCCTCTTTCTCCACTTTTAATAAGGAAGTTGACATTTCTGTGTTTCAAATAAGCAAACTTGCCTTTTAATGGTGGAACAAGTTTTATTAGTTTTATTTAGCTTGCCTTTTGATAAGTAAATATATTTTACGAACTTCACTTAGCTCGCTCTTTAAGAAGGAATGAATTTAACGACCTTTACTCAACTCGCCATTGAATAAGGGAATGGATTTAACGAGTTTCACTTAGCTCGCCCTTTAATAAGGAAATGAATTTTACGAGCTTCACTTTCTCCGAGCTTTGTGAGCTCGACCTTTAATAAAGGAATAGGTCTTATTTATTTATTATTAAATGGTATGCCCAGGGGAGGAACTAGTAATGGACTAACCTGGGCTATAGCCCAGGTCCAATTGAAAAAAAAAAAAAAAATTAGTACTATTGCTCTCATAAGTTCATGTATTATTCTTCCTCTTCCTATCAGCCTAATCCATAATATTTCTATAAATAAAAGGAGTTACAAAATTTACAAAGGCCAAGCCTTAAATATGAGCAAGTTCACGAATAATGTACAGGCTCAATCACAAAAGATACCATAATAAAACATAACAAGGTCCAGCTCAGCAAACCAAACACATTGTTAGTCTACAGAAAAAGACCCAGACTCTTCGTGTGTAAGGCACTAAGGCATAGGTGAATGGATATCATGTTTTATTATTGTTAATCCAGTGAAATATTGATTTTTATTTTTGTTAAAAAAAAATAAAAAATAAAGAAGCCTTTGTTGATAACTTGATCTAGGCAGGGGCGAAACACATAAGTCTTACTTTCTAATGTGAATTTATTGATAAAAAACATATATGTCTTGCATTCTTGTAAGCATTTGTTTTAATAGTTGTATGAAACATATTTTAGTGGATTTTTTACTGTGAAAACGCATTAGAGTTTGGAAGTGTAAATGTGTTAGAAAGTTGTAGATTATAATGTTTAATTGAATGACTGATACATGAGAATTCTGCATTTAGAGCATGGATGTCACACTAATCAATCATGTGTTTAATTATTTTTAGCTCTCCCTACTTTGCAATCTTGGCTCCGCCCCGACCTTACCCCTTCATATCATTTCCTTTCTCTCATTTTAACCCATCCAAACACAATCAACCTTATCCTTCCATATCCTTTCTCTCACTATCCCTCCAAATCTCTCAATTCGATCAAATGAAGCCTAAAAGTTCAAGCCGATGGAGAGTATATATATATGTATATATATATATATATATATATATATATATCTAGTCAAAGACATTAAAGAATTTGAGAAACAAATACTTGGAATTATTAAAAGGAGGGCTAATTTGGGAAGAACATAGACAATTGAATTTTTTTTTTTTACCAGAATTATAAAAGACATTTTTTAATCTGGAAAAATTGAACCAGGCCTAAGCGGCCCCAAATCTTTATTTTCTTATACTACTTTCATGATCAAAAAGTCAGAAAGCATGCTAAAATTTTTTTGTAATCCTGAGCCAATAATGATCAAAAAGGACCTGCTTTAACAATAATAAGAGAATTATGAGAGAAAAATAATATTTATAGATAAATACCTCAAATTATTGCCTAAATATAACTTTATATCAATTGCTCAAATTATTGCCTAAATACAGCAATAACTTTATTAACTAACATCATGATCAAAAAGTCAGAAACCATAACAATAATGAGAGAATAATGATAGAAAATAATATTTATATATTTAGGCAATAATGAGAGAATAAGGACCTGATTTATTTGTAATCCTTAGGCAATAAATAATATTTATATATTTAGGCAATAATATTTGTAAAAAAATTCTAAAACCGTAGAAGCAAATCGAATCAAACTATTTTTTCACGGTTCGATTTGGTTCAATAATATTAATTTTACGGTTCGATTTGGTTCTAATTTTTATAAAACCGTTACAACCATTTTGGTTAAAAAATATTGTAAAACTAGTCTAATACGAACCAAGTGTAAAGTCGTAGTGATAGTGACGATAGCGCACATACTCGTACACCTGCTAGGACCACCATGTGGAGTAATAGTAATGGATGGTAGTGCATGGTCTCTTCTAAGTGCCAATTACAGGACCAGCTAGAAATATGTTCATTTAATGTGACATTTCAAGTTTTTCAATAGGCCACCTAGCTATATTGAAGACTCGCACCATTTGGTTGGAGTGTACTCGTCAGTAATCACCTCTTAAATTTTTTATAGTACTGAACTCTTTAGTCTTGATCAAACAAACGTACGACTTTACGAACAGCAGGCACATACTATGAAGTTTCCCAATCTGTGCCTGCACCAGCTTGTAGTTAGGGCCATAAGCAACACCCGGTAGACAATGATAAGTCACATCTTCCTTGTGCATTTCTAGGGCAAAAATCCTCTCCAAGGAGAATTGCATTTTTCATCATAAATATTCCTAATACAATGTGAATTTTGCAATTGTACAACAAAAATTTAAAATACTTAAATTTTAGTAGATATTTTTACACAACCTATTTAATCAATCAATTTTTTTAAAATCAATCAATTTTTAGAAAACTCAAATCCTAAAATAAATGCAATTGTGGATATAAATTAATTTGAAAATCATAATGAATATTTATCTATACATGAAGAACACTGTGGGAGGCGGTTTAACTAATTCCTGCTCACCACCTCAAACGCAATTGTGGATAAAAAATTAATTTGAAAAGCATAATGAATATTTACCTATACAGGACGAACTCGGGGGGGGGGGGGGGGGTGGACTTCCTGTTCACCACCTGAAAAATATGTCTTCTTCATTGTTTTAGGTACCCAAGATTTTCCCACTTTTTACTTTGCTGCAATTTTTTTCTTAGCCATTCTATTTTCCCCCAAATGTTTAAAACCCTTGTAAAATATGAGGAATAATATGGCACTTTTGATGGAATAAGATGCAACAACAAGAAGAACTGCTATTAAACAAAACAATGGGATGACGACGACGGTAGATGTGATATTGGAAGACGAAGCCAGAGGAACCAGAGAGAAAGGAGGAGACAAACCAGAGAAGAGAAGAGAAGCTGAAGGAAGACGAAGAAGAGAAGCTGAAAAGTAAAAAGTAATATGTGGGTCCCATGTATAAGTGAATAAAATAATTTTATATTTCAATTATGCATACGGTATTCGTAGATGGTAAAACAATGTAACTTTCTTACTTCAGTTATTGAGCTGGCGCTTAGTGGGCAATGACAAGGCAAGTGTGGCTGAGTTGGCTTCATCACAACTGTAGGACCCTCCATGGACAGTCTCTAGTGAGAGGTGCCATGGAGAGGATTTTTGCCCATTTCTATATATCATATGTAGGGCCCACCTTGAGATTCCAAAATTTTGATAGGCCATAGGCAAACTTTCAAGTGTAAGACCCTTAAGGTTTCGTAGGGGCTAAAAAAAAAATTATAAGAGTGCGAAATGTTCATTAAAATTAGACGATAAATACAAAATATATTAATATATGTTGAAAACACACAGAATAAAATCCAATATTTGTGCTTTATAAAGAATACGATCCATTTTATATCAAAAATTTAAAAGAAATATTCAATACAACTTCGGCACAAAAATCAAAATTCAATTTTATATCAAAACAAATGTGATCGTCTTGCATTTTGAGCTACAAAATTATCAATTAAAGTGCTCCAATTAAGTTTCTCCAACATATCGTCAACTGTAGATAGGATTTAATCAACTTTAACTTTGAAAAGTTTCTTTCAGCAAATGCAACTGCAACTGGAGTAGTCAATAATACTGTATATGCAATCCAAGAATTTGGCAAAACAATAATCTAGCATTTTTATAACATCCAATACCTCAATTGGCTTTTTTGTTCTTGTTGGTAAAGCTTCTCTTAAGACTTGTACCTCTGAAAATTATTTTATCTTAAGACTTGTACATCTGCAAATAATTTTGTCTCATCAATATCATAAACCATATCATGTTTTAGGAAATCTTCAAGGTTATTTTGGAGAATGTGACAGTAGATTGCACTAATGAGTTAAAATTTTGATTGTTTAGACTGGGCTTAACGGAGCCTATCGTGCAAGCACATGAGCCCAAAAATAATATAATAATAAAATAAACAAGTTTTTATGTTTAAGTATATAATTTTTATTTATTTTTTTGATGGGTGGGGACAAAAACAAAATATAATAATTATTTTTTTTTTGGTAAGTAAGATTATTGACACTGTTGCATAAACAAATTATTGTTATCAAACAAATTATTGTATAATAGATATATATATATTATAAGTATTGTATATATATATTATAAGTATTGTTTATTGCCATAATTTTTTTAAAGTTATTTATTACCATAAATTTACATGATATATAAGTGTGAATTACATGTCTTTTAATTATGAAAATTATGATCACATATACATATTACTATATTTGCATTATAATCCAAAATTTGAGACCCTTCAAATTGGAGGCCCTAGGCAACCGCATTGGTCACCTTGCCCCAAGGTCGGCCCTGTCTATATGTTATATTACCATATGTGTGTATATTTTTGCTTGCAGTATCATGTACTATGTTTATATTCCTAAGTACATGTACAAATGCATATATTTTGTTTTTTTAGCAAATATACATGGAGTCCCAATTTTATAGTTATAGTTATGTATTAAATTAACATGTTGTGTTGTATGTAATTTGTTGCACTATTGATTTAATATTGCACATAATGACACATGACAGACAGGTGAGACAAGAAAAGACTATAATCATAAATGAGAGATGTATGGTATGTATATAAATATCTTAATGAGTTACATACTCACCATCGGCTTGAACTTTTAGGCTTCATTTGAATTGAGAGATTTGGAGGGATAGTGAGAGAAAGGATATGGAAGGATAATGTTGATTGTGTTTGGATGGGTTAAAATAAGAGAAAGGAAATGATAGGAAGGGGTAAGGAGTGATAGCCATATCCTATCCGTCCAAAAATGAGAAGATAATGAGGGAACTGATAGTGTTTAAGTAGTATTTTCATAATTCTAAAATTGCTCTCAACAATTAAAGGAAGAAATTGTTATTCCACACATCTATTTAAAAAGATATGATAATAATTTGATTGTTATCATTTCTTTTATTTTCTCCCTCTATCTTATCTAAATAAGAATATTTTTTATTTATTTTTTTTATTTTTTTATCTCTTCTATTTATTCATACATGAATAGAGATTATTGATATAATTTTTTTTCTTTTCTTTTCTCCGATACTCCTTCTATCCCATATTAGTTGTCCAATTCAAAAAAATTTAGTCACAAATTTTGTGAGTCAAAGTTACTGAAATATACCTCTAATATGGGATATAGATAGTATATAAGTATATAAAAGAAATATGACTAAAAATGACATCAAATGATTCAAAAATAAAATGTGGCAGTGAGTCAAAGTTTTCTAAATGAATAACTATTATGGGACGGAGATAGTAACTAATACGGAGTATTATCATTGTCTTTCTTTTGTATCCTATGTATCCAAACGGAGCCTTAGATTAAATAAAAATAAACAATACATTATTAATGCATAACTATGTATATATATATGTATGGAACAGCCCATTCCCTTTCATGAAATAACAAGAATAATACCATGTTAGCTAGCATTTGTGTACATGCCATTCACTGTCCCTCTCTACATTAACACATAACTTTATATATATATATATATTCTTATATTTGTGTACAAGTATGGAACAGGCCAGTGTACAAGTATGGAACAGGCCATGTACTTTCATCATGAAATAATAAGAATAATTGCTGCCAGGCACTGTCCCTCTCTACATTAAAATCTAATGAAAAGGGTGGTTATTTCCTTGAAGTTTCTTCTCTACCCATGAAGGAGATAACACAGGACTCATTTCATACTCCATGATCTTCATCTTCATTTCATGAGTCCTGTCATCCAAACACACCTTCTTCTCATCAGGCAACACCTTAACCCTCCACACCTTAAAAGTCTGATCCAAACTTGCACTATAAACCAAAAAACCCATCACAACCCTCTCTATCTCCAATGAAGCAGCCAAACACCTCACTGGCCCTCTATGTGCATCCAACACTGCAAGGCACTCATGAAAGCAGCTCCCTTCCTCTCTCCTCCAAACCCTAATCGTCGTGTCCTCCGATCCGCTGAATATCAACTTCTCTATGGACACCAGGCAAAGCACTGCAAATCTATGCCCTTGTAAGAACCCTCCATGGTTAAACCTACCAGACATCTTCTCTTTTTCCCAAAAGTTTATGAATCCGTCGGACGAACCGGAGTAGAGGAAGCAAGACCTCAGTGATGTGCTTAAGGCCAGTGCATTGACAGGCGACGGCTGGAACTTAAGTGTCATGGTGAGAGTATGCGAGTTCTGTCCATATACTCGCCTCCAAATCTTGACTGAACCATCAGATGAGCATGTGAAAACACACCCATCATCTTGGTTCACCACTAGGCCATTCACATTATCTTCATGAGCCAAAAATGAGTCCACGCACCGATTATCGGACATTCGCCACGCCTTGACTATTCTGTCCCATGACCCAGTGTACAAAAGCCCTTCTGCATGGTAATATGCCATGCAGGACACACAATCCTTGTGTTGGTGCCCACTTGCCCTAGAAAACAAGAGGAATGAGTTTTTTCTAGGTAGGGTTGTGACCTTTTTGGACCTGAAATTATCCGAATTCGTGACGTTCCAAATTCGGACTTTGTGATCCCTGTGTGAAGTGAAGACCATGTTACCATAAGCTAGGATGGCCCGGACTTCGCCGGAGCTCGCCTTGAGGTACCCGCGCTCGATGCAGTCCGGCTGGCGCCATGCACGAATCCGGCGGCTCTCAGAGCCGGTGTAGACTACTCCTTTGGAGACGGTGATGGAGTAGATGTTGCCTTCTTGGCGGTGAAGCGAGGCGATGCAGTGGTAGAGGAGAGAGGGGGATGGTGTTTGGAGAGGAGACAGAGTCCATGGTGATTCAGGGCTTGGAGGTGGGAGTAGAGCATACATAGTGGAAGTGGGTGTAGAAGGCCTTGGAGGGCTAAAATGGCCATCTTGTTCTGATATTTGTTGATGGATTTGGAGGCCAGAGAGGTGAGTTGGTGATTGAATTGTCTTTCTCTCTTCATCTATGAAGCTGAACAAAGTTCTCTTGCCATAGTATTCCATGGTAGAGAGAGAGAGAGGTGAGAGAGAGAGAGGGAGAGAGAAATGGGATTGGAAATTAATATGGCTATGGGTAGTAGATATATATAGATGTGAAGATTGAATGGGTGTATTAATAAGCCAATTTAATGGGTTTAGTTGTGCTTATTTATTTTTGGTTAAGAATAGACGTGGTGTCCTTTATCACCATTGAATAACTCACTATTATAAAGTATAGACATATTGAATTGATATTTGGGGAGAATTGTGTCATAGATATCGAAATTGCAGCATGATCAATTAACTCTCCCAAGTTAATTGATTGATCAAATGGGATCACACAACTGAAGTGGATTTCATACATATATATAAGATATGTTTGGTAGGGCATTATGCACTGGCTTACTTAGTAGAGCATTTAAGGTATGCCTGTTTTCGAGTCCTCTTTCCTCTATTTTGTTTGAAAAAAAATAGAAAAAGTTATGTTCAATAGTATGGAATTAGTGCCTTAAAATTGAAATTGAACAACTTTTACTGTGTGTGACTAGGGCCTACTTAGTTTGTAACTATGAGAACAGTTTTCTGTTTACAAAAAACTCTGTTTCGTTCAGTGTTTTGAAAACTAAGTTATAAAAAAATCTCTTTTCATAGAATTGTTTTTTTATAATTATCTAAATTTTTGAAAATTATTTTTAGAGTTACAAACCAAATAAATCCTAAATTTTGCCAATTTCCTATTCCTGTTCTTGTTCCTGCTACCACACCGTGTCTAAGTGACTTGGGTCATGAGACTTCGGGTATTCAAAGAGAGCCTCTGATTTCTTCAAGAGTGCTTCAAATTTAACTAAGCATAGGTTGAAAAAATTAGACTATATACAGTAGTATATACGTACTGAGTTTCCCAATATGGTGATACAATGAATAGATACACTACTATTATATATATATGTAATAGAGAAGACATTGGCATTACTGAACATCTTATCAAATATTCATATTGACCCAGACCATTAAGATTGAAAAGGACAAGATTGAGAAACTATCATCAGGTTTCATTCGTTCGTGAAAAAGATTTGAGTAGATTATAAAAAATTGGGGGATATGATATTAGTTTTACTCATATGGTAGGTATCTAATGAGATTCATGATGACATTTTTGGGTGCTCAATGAGAGCCCTCTGATTAATTGAATTAAAGTATAGGTTGATTAAATTAAAACTATATAGTATACTGAGTTTTCCAACATGATATATATATATATATAGACATCACAAAAGGAATATATAGATTGACATTAATTAGTGAACATCTTATCAAATGTTAATATTGAGCCATAGCATTAAGTCGGAAAAGGACAAGATGATTGATTTTTCATCTGTATATGTATAGTAGTTAGTTATTAATATATATATATATATATTTATGGGGGACATTGATCTTTATGAAAGATGTCTGACAAAATATTATAAAAACGGGAATACGTGGTTGCATGAGTAAATAACAATGAGATGGAACCAACTACCATGGTCAACTCTCAATTGATCAATGATGAGAGCAATGCATAGCATTATATGAAAAGTAAGAAGGAAAAAAAAAAAAAAAGTGTTCAATTCAATGATTTTTTCATGAAAAATAAAAAAATTTAGAGCAGTTCCGAAATATTCTGCATATCATTTGGAAAAAGACTTACACAAGATCTATTGAAATACATTTGAGAAATTGCAGGTTTCATTTGTTCATGAAAAAGATTAAGATAAATTATTTATAAAAAATATCAAGGATATGATGATTCATAGAGATTTTTTAAACTCGAGACTTGACTCTTCGGCCTTCTATTCTAGATGGTAGTGAATTATAGCCATACTTCTCTAAACACAATGAAAAGATACATGTACAATAACATTCTAGTTGAATTTGTATTTTGTCCATTTTTTGAAGTTTTCAACAATAAGTAAATAATAGAAATTTTTAATTTTAATTTCATGAATTTTATCTTAATATATTATACAATTTGATTTGGACATCCGATACAAATGTGAATTTTTGCACATAAAGAAAGCTGGATATTTCAGGTAGATCAAATACTCTTATTTGATGCTCTGAATTTTGATTCCTCTTTGTAGGGGTTCTTTTTGAATAATACAATAAACAAGTGTATAAGGGTGAAATCAAGAATACAAATATGAAGAAAAATAGAGATGATACTTAGTGAAGAAGGAGAAGAAGACCGATCTTCAAGATTAAGATGGAGGTAGGGCAGATATACAGTATTTATGACAGCTCTTTTCTGGCCCCCTTTCCTTCATGCGATAATGCTATTTATAGGCTCTAGAACATACTGGTTATTAACCAGCTATCCCTTGCGCATCTCGCTCCTAACCATGATCACATGGGTAATCCTGATGGACCAAGGAGCCTAAGAGGTCCAATCCTCTTATCAAGCCATGCACTTTGTTGCTTCTCCCCTATTTGGGGCATTAAATACTTTTTGTTCTTGCTTGGCCGTCGGTTGGCCAAGTCTATCATAGCATTAAATGTGATTTAAAGGTTTGCTGTCATAATGTATATATTCCCATCATCTCGTTGATCGGGCCTCGCTGGGAGCAAAGGCACTTCTTTACTTCTCATCCACTAGTCCAAGATCCTTCTAAATTTCCCAAGTTAAGATCCCATATAGCTGAGAAGGCCCTACCTTCGTTTCACACTATGTTTGGACCTATGGGAGTATAGTCATTTGTAGGCGAGCTCTCTGGGGTTCTAATGCCTCGAAGCACTATGAGGCTCAAAAGAGCTTTTAGGCTGAGCATTTAAGTCCTAGCAACTTGGCATGTTGCTAAGGTTCGTAATGCTCGAGGTCTAAGCTCTCAAAGCTTATAGGCATGGTACGATGCCAGGGCTTGAGTCAGTCGAGAGTTGGTTCCTTTAGGCTTGTTGACCTGGTGCGCTGCCAGGGTTTGAGTTGGTCGAGGGTTGACCCCTCGAGACTTGTTAACTTGGTGCGCTACCAGGGTTTGAAGTGCTCGAGGGTTAAGCCCCCAAGGCTTGGTGGCCTGATGTGATGCCAGGGCTTGTAGTGCTCGAGAGTTAAGTGTTGGAAACGGCATTAGAAAACGCAAACTTTGGAAGGATTATTAAAAAGATTCCGCTAAGAATTTTTTGCGAATCTATTGATGAGCGCGTTCCTCTCTACGAGGAGATGAACGTGGTATATTTATTTTCTCAAATCCGTTTCCGGGTGAATGAGAAATTGGCTCCAAAGTAAGTGATTTATAAAGCCTAAATGGGTGTGAATAAAGTGGGAAATGCTTGTCCCACATCGAAAAAGTAGCAAAGCAACCTTGAGTATATATATGTCTAGTATGGGATTTGGGTTTGGGCCCAAGGGCACCCAAGTTTTTAAGAGGGGGAGGACCTAGGCTAGCCTGGATCCGAACCAACTACCACACGCGCGCGCCGCCCGCCCGACCCGACCCGGTCCGGTCCGGGCTAGGGCGGGGCGGGGCTTGATTGTGAAATGGGTTTAACTTTTTACCCAAAGTTAGGATGGGCCTGTGTGGTAATTTTATTTTGCTGCTGGACTTATCAAAATGGGCCTGTTTACTGGGCTGAATTAATAGCCGAGTTGGGTTATTTGCTTGCTGGAAATTAAGGGCTGGGCTGGATCAGAATTAAAAGGATTCAGTTTTAAGAACCAAGGGTTGCACCCTTTACAAATTAAAAACTACCAACAAATTTTAATTCTGATTGGTCAACAATGGTTGCACCCATTCGGACTATGGGTGCACCCATTGAGAATAGGCACCAACAAGCCTATAAATACCCATCATTGGGTTCATTTCTTTTCACACAAAATTCAGAAATCTTCTTCTCTTCTTCTGAATTTCTTCTTCTAATTCTTCTTGTTCGGTTTAGCCACTGGTTTGGGTTCAATCTAAACTAGTTTGGATTGGGTTCGAACCTTGGTTTCCGAGTTAGGGTTCAATCCTGGTCTCCGAGTCTGAGTTCATCAGAGAGTACTACACCGAGCCGGTTCGCCTATTCCATTGGTTTGAAGTGCTACTACCAAAGGAAGAAAAGTCGTTGTATCCTGGGAGATAGACGCCGAAGAGTCCGTTAGCACCGTAGCGGGGCGTATCTGTCTTAAGGCTATAGAATTAAATTCTAGCCTCGACTTTATCAGGTTCTTTTATAGTTTTATTTTCTTGATACTAAACTATATAAATATATATATATAGATTATTATAATAAATATTATATTTACAAATAATATTTAAATAAATTATACTATAGTATATGATACATTAATTTATTTTTATTAACAATCTTAAGACAGATCGCTTTATACTATAGTAATAATTATTTAATTATTATTCTTGTTATAATTATAATTTGACTCGTGGTCTGTATATCAATATATATCAGACAAATGGCAAGTACGAGTATTACTGTGCCTAATGTTCCCGTCAGTCATGGGGAGAAGCCCGAAAAATTCAACGGGACAGAGTTTAAAAGGTGGCAACAGAAAATGATGTTCTACCTTACAACTCTAAATCTAAGCAAGTATCTGACTGAGACTGCTCCAGTGTTAGATGAGGGTGATACAGACATTACCAAGCTTGGAGCTGTTGATACATGGAAGCATGGAGACTTCCTATGCAAGAACTACATCCTCAATGGATTGGACAACACCTTATATAATGTGTACAGTCCAATAAATACTGCTAAAGAGCTTTGGGAGTCGTTAGACAAAAAGTATAAAACAGAGGATGCTGGATTGAAGAAATTCGTGGTTGGACGATTTCTGGACTTCAAAATGATAGACTCCAAGACAGTCGTGAGCCAAGTGCAGGAGCTCCAGTTAATCCTACATGAGATACATGCTGAGAAGATGACATTGAGTGAATCCTTTCAAGTAGCTTCAATCATTGAAAAGCTGCCACCTACTTGGAAAGATTTCAAAAATTACTTGAAGCATAAGCGCAAGGAAATGGGGCTCGAAGACTTAATTGTCAGGCTGAGAATTGAAGAAGATAACC